GTATATATATTGTATATATATTGTATATATATTAGCAAGTCCCGCCTAATCGGCCAATCGTTAGAGATAAGAGTTCAAGTCCCCGTTAGGCTGCACTGATATGAGCCACAGCATTAGAACATTAATGCCTGTCAAAGGTTGAATCGTGTATATTTTCTGATCAGCATTTGTTTTCAACCCAAGTCCAATGGGAACGCACTCCGGGGTTGGGCGGGTTATCAAGAGACAAACGAATTTCCAACACTGTTTCATATGCTTCTCGTTTCTTTCTTTGATTTCTTGACAGGCCATGAGAACTGCACTTTTCACCATGATCTGGAGCTGGATCACAAGCCGCCAACACGTGAGGCATTGCTACCTGATATGGCGCGCTCCTACCGCCTGCTGTTGGGCGGCCTCGGCGAGAATCCCGACAGGCAGGGCCTGATCAAGACACCGGAACGTGCGGCCAAGGCAATGCTGTATTTCACCAAGGGCTACGATCAGAATCTGGAGGGTAAGTGGACAGCATTGCGTGTTTCCACACAGCTCAATTAGCACCTGATAATCACTCTGACCAATTAGCATTAGGTCAGTGCTCCATCCTGTGTGACACCGTGAATCAGCAAAAAAAAAAAAAAAAAAAAAAAATTAACTTCGAAGCGGCATTTCCAACTAGAAACTAGTTTCTTTTGGTAGTGATTCATTGGAGCTCTATATATGCATATGCATATCTATATCTATATGTATTATTTGACCACCGTACTTCACCTTTATCACTGACTCGACTTGACTGGGCGGTGCATTACCCTTAATCGTTTCCACTTAAGTCAGTTTACAGTTCTAAATTAAGAGTCTTGTGTTGTCGTTCTGTGGGGGGTCCTTGTGCTTGGCGTACTGTCAATTCTCTAGTATTGTATAACTCTAATATGTTTACTAACTTTATTTTGTTCCTGTTTTTGCTTTTAGTTTATTCTCATTATTTATTTATTTTGTTTTGGTGAATTGCAAGTATGCAGACCGGTTTTAAGAATAGTAATTCAGAAAAGCAGGTTCTACACTTTATTTAATACAATCGCACAAAACTCAAAGTCAGCATTCAAATTGGCCAGCAGCAGCGGCAGCGACGGCAGTCAGATATTAATGAAAGTAAATTGCCTCGAGCCAAATTTATAATCAATAATCACAAAAACAATTCGCAGCCCTTTCAATCTAATTTCAATGATAAATAGAATTCGAAATGCTCTAAAATAAAACGCGTTTAGAATTTTATTATTTTCTGAACATCATTTAAATTTCAAACAAAGCTAGTTAACTAGTTCACAAAATGATTTATAACAACAGAAATATGTCATAAAATCAGTGACATTGAAGTATGTAGCGAGTGTGAAAGAGACAGAGAGAGAGAGAGAGAGCAGAGCAAAGCTGCAGGAGCAACAGCAGCAGCAGCAGTAGAGGGAGAGCAGAGCTTAGTAGAGCAGAGGTGCAGGAACAGCAGCGCCAGCAGCAGTTGCTATGAATTGACAGGAAGCGCACTTAAGCTTTTAAAACGGTAACGAAGAGGAGCAGAGAGAGAGAGAGAGTGTGAAAATTGAGTGAGCGACTGACGTCGACAGTGCTGCTGTGAACGGGTGAGCAGGCAGAACAGGCAAGAAGTGTGCTGAAATCACAAGAGTAGGCAGAGCATTTAAAGCTGAAGTAGTGAAAGCTCAAGCTGCCAAAAGAATGGCCAACAAGTGGCGCCACACGCACACACACACTCTTGCTCACACTCTCAGGCTCTCATGTGCATGTGTGCACATTAACAGTCAAGTGGAAAAGTTCAACTTAAGATTCAGTTATGGCATTGCCACACGTTCGTTCTATGGAGCAAATAAATGTAGCATAAAATTTACATCAATCTAGGTTGGACCGAAATAATATTAACATAATTTTCGATTTGATTTGTGGCTTAGATGTGCTTAATGGCGCCGTCTTTGATGAGGATCATGATGAAATGGTCGTTGTGAAGGACATTGAAATGTTTTCCATGTGCGAACACCATTTGGTGCCTTTCTATGGAAAAGTATCTATCGGTTATTTGCCATGCAATAAGATTCTGGGTCTCAGCAAGCTGGCTCGGTAAGTTACCTGAATTCTCTTAGTTGAAATTCATATACCTTATTTATATATTTTAGCATCGTGGAAATCTTTTCGCGTCGCCTTCAGGTGCAGGAGCGCTTGACCAAGCAAATTGCTGTTGCTGTAACACAGGCAGTGCAGCCAGCAGGTGTTGCTGTTGTTGTTGAGGGAGTGTAAGTATAAAAAAAGAAAAAAGAAATAAAAAAATTATTATTAAATTTATACATTAAAAAAATAAAAAAAAGTCGTGTTGCATCGGCCGGGAATCGAACCCGGGCCGCCCGCGTGGCAGGCGAGCATTCTACCACTGAACCACCGATGCTTGTGTGGGGAGTTGCGCTAAAGCTGAATAAGTTAAAGGGTCTGAATTAGTACTGTGCAGGCAATTGATAAGGAGTTTAATATTTAAATATAGTTATTAACTGTTTTTATTTTCTTCATAATTTATTATTTATTAAATTTGATTTAATAGTGATTTACTTCTCTATTTCAGACACATGTGCATGGTCATGCGTGGCGTGCAGAAAATCAATAGCAAAACTGTTACCTCGACTATGCTTGGCGTATTTCGCGATGATCCAAAGACGCGCGAGGAGTTCCTAAATCTAGTCAATAGCAAATAAATCTATATAAATTGTATAACTTTTTTGACTTGTGTACAAAATTTTTGTTGAAATTTTTTTTAAATTTCGTTTAGTTCAATTTGCAAGACGACAGACGAGAAAAAGCATCGCGAATTTTGGTGTTGGTAGTTTTACATAAATAATATTTGTTCATTTAAAAAAAAGCAAAAACAAAAAAAAAAAAAGACAGCACATAAATAATATTTTTTATATATATGTTACACTCACACATACATATATTTGTATGCAATAAGGGAACAACTAAATAAACGACATCGGAAACCGTTTAGGGAATTTACAATTAAGCTAAAATTCGTAAAAAAACAAAAATAAGTATCTACAAATATATAAATTGATATATATTTACATATATACAGGAACATACATATATGAACTTATTAAAATTAGTAATCAAAGGAAATCGTTCGAAATTGCTTTGTTATCTATATACAAACAGAAGTAAATATGTATAAATATTTATATATGTATTTTAATTATGRCATTTTTGAGAAGATAACGAAATTCACGCTATAAATTTAAAATAGATAAACGTATGCTCGTTATGCAATTGTTGTTTCTTGCACTAAACAAAATCTGCTTAAAATTATATATAATTAAATAAATAAATATTTGAATATTGTTAAAAATAATTATCGTCTTTTAATAATTAATAATCAGGCAAAAAAAATCGAAGTACAAGTTTTCTTTGTGTGTAAATAATAAACAATGAAAAAGTTCGTCCTTTCGTTGACCCCGACGTGAATCGAACACGCAACCTTCTGATCTGGAGTCAGACGCGCTACCGTTGCGCCACGGAGTCCTTGTTCACCGTTATACCAAATGCCATATACAGCACAAACGCCCAATTCTTTGGACATATCCTGAATGCAATTTGCATATGTAAATTTTCCTCCCCAAACATTATATAAACTATTAATAAACTCTCGTTGAATGAGGACAAGAAAACGAATTTCATATAAAATTTATTTTATTTCCTTATTGCATAACAAGGCAGCAGGCTGTTAAACGTTTTCAGTTACGAGTTACGATTAATAAATCGAGTAAACGAATGTCTTGATGATTTTAAGCTGTTCATTGTATGAAATTTACAATTACTTATTTATTTGGTTCGTACAATTAAACTTAACCGGTATACAGACGGAATAGAGAAGATTTAAACTTTGGCGTAAATCTAAAATCAAGGAAATGCTTTTAATATTTTTTTTTTTACAATATAAATCAGTAACTAGACAGAAGAGACAGGGAATCGAAACGAATATACATAAAACTAATCATTTTTTATCTGCACTTATTTTACAAATTATAGGGCAGTAAGGCTCCAGCTGTAATCTCATAGAGTTATCCATCCAATGGGGTCCCTAAATAGACCATAGACACTTCTGTGTTGCCATAGACAGCAGATACCGTAGGATAAAGCTTCTTAGCTGGCAGACCTACAACGATTTTATTTCATATATTCAATAAAACTATTGGTAATTCGATTTTTAATATAAATAGCTAACCTCTAAATGCGACTCCTAGGAATTCATAATTTTTCTCAAAGGATAGTGTATTATCATCGCAGTCGAGTATAACGCGTATCCTTTCACCCACCTGGTATTTGGGTGCATTATTTAATAACGGATAATTGCCCTGCATATCACCGTTGTGCAGTAGATGATTCTCAACTAGGTTCCAGCCCCAGCTTTGATCATCAGATCCAAGTAGTGCCACATAGCCATGACACTGCAAAGCTGCCTCCTTTGTGGATATACCAATTACGGCCACGGTCCCCAATGGACCCTCCCAAATCACTTCCCATGCATGACGGCCTTGACGAAATCCAATTTTCGCCCTTGCAGCGTCTGTGCTTTGTGCTACCGGATTTCTGAAATAACAAAAATAAAACAATAATAATATTAGCACAGAGAGCATACCAGAAAACAATTTATGTACCGATGCAGAGTGAATCCGTTTGGCTTAATGTAAACGTTCCGTGAACAATCGTTGGGATTCCAAGCGTGCAGGTACGCGCGCAGCTTTGTCTTGTATGTGGTAACGGAGGCCAGCAGATCGGATTTAATAGACTCTTTGGGAAGTTTCCGCAGGCAGTGCCAACGCCAAACATCACTGTTTTCATCGTTCAGAAAGTGATACCAGCTTTTGCAGACTTGTGAACAGCGACTTAAGTCACTTAGCTCCAAATATGAGAATATTGCCTCCAATACATTATAATTGCACAGTGGATCGACCATTTTGTTGTTGTCTAGTCGTCTTCCACACTGATATCAGGTGGCGCTGGGCTTTGTGTGCGTGTATTGATGATTTGATTTAATTTAACAGCAGCAATCTCTTTTACATAGCCTTTAATTTTTCACTTAACGTATCATCAAATCTCTTATTTGTCATTTTTTTTTTTATATCAATATATTGTTTATTATAGTATTTGGCAAAAATCAGCCGTGCGTGTGTAGAGTTGTGTCGAAATGTTCCGAACAAGCTCATCGGTACGAATCGCATTGTTCACGTTCATTTAGTTCTTTTGAATCTTATACTTGGTCTTCATTTATTAGTTCTCTTACATTTAATATGGATTTTAATATGATAAGAAATTTAATCTTTTTAGTTAGACATATAATGTATTCATTATATTATGTGGCAATGCAGTTTTAAAGCTCATAACAGTATCGATAAACAACTCTAGGGCTTGAAAAACTATCGATATTCAAGCACACTAGTTTTGGCTAGCGATGCCTGTGTCGAGTTGGCCAAAATAATTGTCGTCGTTTAGGGTGCAGTCCACGATAACAGCATTGTTTACATTTTGTAAAGTGTGTTGGAAAACGTTCGAGAGGATAAAAATATCTTTACAGATAGTCGTTTAAAATATAAACTATTCCAATTTTGACTTTTTTTACGAATTAGCAGACAATCAAGACAATTGAAGTCCTAGAACAAAGGTGATCCATTGCATTCTGAAAATCAGAAGCGATAACTTTATGTGTGCACACTATGAAATCAATTTAAAAATTTGTATTATGATGTATAAAGTAAGAAAAGATTGTATTTAAAAGATTTTTTAACGCTAAGAGACTCTTGAATAACTTATAAGATATCATTTTGTACTATATGAGTGCCGCTACCGTGACGTCGTTACACAACACTTAGTTCGATTGATGCGTAAAATTGGCGCGCCGAAGAAATCAGCTGTTTACCGCGGGGTCTGCCATTTCGCTCGCACTCTCACGTTGGTCGTTTTCGTAGTCGTTGTCGTCGTCGTCGAAATCAACGACTTGATGGAAATTTTATGAACATCGCGCTGCTATTAAAACGAACCATTATAAAATTCTAAATAGTGCATTAGAAACAACATAATTTCTCCATTCATTTGCAAAAAAGTGCATAAAAATCAGAACACTAAAAGTGCCCGAAAAACGCCTTTGAAAAAACCCGCATTGAAACCATTTTGTGTGAGTGTGACAAGAAAAAATGCGCTGCTGCCTCTGCTGGAAACAAAAAATGCGCTCGCCATTTTGACTCGCGCGACAACCAAATTTTTACTTGCTACTATCAAAATAATCACTTTGAACTGTGCCACAGCGTAGTCTCTTACGCCCCAATATAAGAACATCTGTGAATTGTACAAAGAATATTTAATACACGTGTTACAATTGTGAACCCCAAAAAAAAACTACAGAGATCATCGCGGGCCGCGCCACACAAATACAGATATAAAAAGTACACATATTCACTTGCATACACCGAGGCAGGCATTCAACATACACATACACACGTTGCGACTACGTGCTTCAGTTCCRTTCTGTTCTGTTCTATTGGCATTGATATCTTTTGGCGGGGCGTGTTGGTGAACAGTTAGTGTCCCCTCCCAGAAATATAAGCGCAAATACAAAATAGTCGCAGTCGCCGCAGGTAGCAGCGAAATCAATTCAGCAACGGCTAAGGGTGCTGGGCACCAAACAACAGGCGAATCGTCGTTACTACACCTGTCCTTCTGCCCATTACACCTGAAAATGGCGCATACCTCGGCGACAAATCAAACGAGCGGCGCGGTTAAGACTGATGAGGTCAACTTTTTCTTTCAGGATGAGCACGGTAAGCAGGGATAAGCGGTTTAATGGCCAATAAGTCCAGTTGGATTCCCACCACATTGCAATGTTATTAAATTCACTATGTAGCGGATTAATGTTGCTTTAATGAATGCATAACATACATACAGACATGCATATGTATATATTGTAACATAGAAGCACACACACACATATTCAAATACAGTTGCAGAGACTTGCGTATTCACAATAGTAGCGGCGGGGGAGCTACTCTACTAACTTGCATGCTCGCACACTGGCGCGTAAACGCCATCTTTTTCTTTTTTCGGTTTCCTTTTACATACAATATTTATCGCTTAATGCTCTTTAAGCGCATACTGAACGCCGCGCCATGGCGAGACAAACCAACAAGAGCAACAACTACTACTACAACTGCACGGCAACACGTCAAAAAAACAAATAATAAAAATAAAACCAAGTAAAATCGGTTGGTTTTGTCTGCTGCTGCCAATATACATTCATATGTACATATGTATGTATTGATGTATGGATGTGCATACTTACACAGATATATACATATGTATGCCAAGATGAATGTGTGTATCATGTGCATGTGTGTACATTGCCGGGCAGCAGCGACAACAGTCGCGCTTCGCCCAGTTGGCGCTCAGTCAAACACATACTCAAATACATTCTATAATGAAAAAGATACTCTGCCATTTGTTGTTGTTTTTGTTTATGTTTTTTTTTTTAGTCTAAACAGCTGATAGCAGCGCAGCAGCGCGGCAGCAGCCAGCCGGCAGCACTGTCTTCGTTAAAGCTTCCGTCGAGAGCGCTTTTTTTTTCTTTCTCTTTCTCTCTCAAGATTAAGTCCTTCGCATAATAAATCTTAAAATTTAGCACAGTATAAAAACAGGCTGGGGGCGTGTTCGCTGTGGAGGTGACGCAGATATACTAAAACTGCGTGACATTCTGCTTTGTGTTATAAAAAGCTGAAGAATACTCACACATGCATACATATATATGTATGTATATACACACAGATATACATACCTACGCTTTCACAGATAAACTGCACGTACATATATACACACAGGCATACGTACAAGCAGATAGAAAAATAGTTAAAGCCCAAAATGGGCAAACACCAAACATGTGTAGCAGCGACTGCGCAGCCGACGCCGGCAGCAATGGTTGTTGTTATTGCCGTTCTGTTGACCATCTTACGTACATCGAAAAGCGCGCGTGTGTGGGTATGAATGTGTGTGTATGTTTGTGCGCGCGTGTATATGTAAGCGCATGGGTTTTTGTATGAATGAGCGAGCAGAGTCGACCGTACGCCGGCTAACCGGCCTGCTACAAGGCTGCTGCTGCTGCTTCTGCTACTGCTTGCTGCTCTCAGCGATGTTTGACAGCAGTTAAAMTCTGACTCATTTGTTAGTATGCGTGCGTGCGTATATGTGTGTGTGCAGATTGGTATTTATAGTTGGAAGCCCTTTTGCTTGCTTCGCTCTTTATTCATAAACCACTTAAAATTAGCATACATGTTTATTTGTATACATATTTCTTTAGTGCTTAGCGCGCCCGTTAAATATTAACATTATGTAAATGTTAGCTCAGCAGGTGAATAATTAGCATAACTGACAGATCTAGATGTAAATTGTAAAGCGAGAAGGCGATATCAGACGGCCAGGGTTGTGCAAACAAAGCGATCGTAATACATACTACATTGATACTGTTGTATGCGTATGCATGTAAATATGTATGTGATCACGTGCTTCATACATATCGGCTTACTTGCTTTGGGGTTTATTTGTGAACTGTTGCGGTTTCTCAGCGAATCCTTTGCACCCCATGTCAAGTAGCGGGCATATTTATGTTTTCGTTTCTTTCGTGCTTCACATATTTCTTTTTTGGTATTTGGCTTTGTTTTTGTTGTCGTTTACGTTTTTTGCAGCGATGTTTTTGGTTTTCGCACTTTGCTTTTGTTCTCAACATTCACCGTGAGCGTCTGTGTTAGTGTGTGTGCATATATGTATATACTTACATGCATTGTATTCGATTAACATACATCTATCGAATCACCTCATTGAACTTTCGAACCAAATCTTCGTTCATTGCGTGCACTGAAAATCCTTCACGACACAGTGGATAATCCCTTTCTAATTTGTATGCATATACTTCAAATCGTGATCAAAATACATATATGTATTTATTTATCTGTCTATATATTTAAATAGGACAAATTGCCAAAGTGTTGAAGCCAGTTGTAGTGAAGCAAGCACACTCCATGGATAAGTCAAGTTTGGTCTTTCCGAGCAGCTCCACACGCAACGGAGGGAGCGGAAGTGGCGGCATCGGCAATGTAGGTCGAGTGGGCGCCCTAAGTCACATGGTAAGCATTGATAAATTGATCGAGAACAAGAGAAAAATACTTATGTGTTATTAAACTTCTTTTGATTTGCGCGCAGAGCACAACGAATCAGGGACAATTTATACGTATTCAAGACAATTGTATAACTATTCCAAAAACCGAAAGTAAGTCGAGCACAGACAGCTAATATTTGCGTACAAATTTATAAATGTGACATTCGGGTTTTCTTTTCTTTTATTTTTTACAGTTACTTCATATACACCTGTGTCAGCGCAAAAAACCAGCAGTGCTGGAAGTGCGGGAGGAGGCATGCACGAGGTGAGTAAATAACTCACAGTAAATAACTCACAATGAAAAGAAACTAAATAAGAAATTTCTTGTAGATAAAGAATGAGCGATATGTCAAATTTACGCCAAATAACGTCATGAAAATGAAAACGAAATTGTAAGTCTATTGGCAATTCATCAAAATACATGAAATTACAGCAAATTACAAATATAAATATATATACATCTGTAATCCCTAGGCACGTCATTCAGAACAGTCCCATGCACACAGCGCCCGCCTCTTCTTCGTCAGCGCAAAGGAAACGAAAATCCGATAAAGCCGGCAAGGGACTGCGTCACTTCTCGATGAAGGTATGCGAGAAGGTGCAGGAGAAGGGCAAGACGACATATAATGAGGTGGCGGACGATTTGGTTGCTGAGGAAATGAAGAACAATTCATACGATAATAACTGTGATCAAAAGAATATCCGGCGTCGTGTCTACGATGCGCTTAACGTACTGATGGCAATCAATGTTATTTCTAAGGACAAAAAAGAAATCCGTTGGATCGGCTTACCTGCCAACTCAGCCGAGGTACTAAACTGTCTCTGAGTTGTTTAGCTTATTTATTAATAATATTTATTTACTTCACTTTAGCAATTTAATGCCTTGGAAGAGCAAAACATGTTGTGCCGCGAGCGAATCAAGCAAAAGAATGAAATGTTGCGGGAAATGATCATGCAACATGTGGCATTCAAGGGCCTCGTTGAGCGCAATAAGCGAGCTGAAAGCCAGGGCGTGGTGCCATCTCCGAACTCATCCATTCAACTGCCGTTCATCATTGTGAATACGCACAAATCGACAAAAATCAATTGCAGTGTAACCAACGACAAGTATGAATCCGTTAGACAAGATTTATATATTGTTTTATTCATAATAATCATTTGCTGTATATATTTCTACTTCGCAGATCCGAGTACATTTTTAAGTTCGATAACACATTCGAAATGCACGACGACATTGAGGTCTTGAAACGCATGGGCCTTCTTGCGGGTGAGTAAACAATTTATTTAGCTTCTGTTGAAAGAGCATTAGATAAGATTATGGCTTTCTTTCTGGCTATTAGGCTTGGATACGGGTGAATGCACCGCAGAGAATATAGAACGTGTCAAGTCATGGGTCCCACCAAATCTGGCCAAATATGTGGAAGGTATTTATTTACTGCATTAGATTGTAGGAATAAAATATGATTTATATGTACCATACATTTTTTCACAGCTTACGGCAATGGCAAAATGGATCCGATGTACGACTCGGATGACCATGACGACTTCAATCCGTACCTCGAATCAACCAATGAGTCTCAGGGCTTTGCACAACACACACAGCGTACCACCGATGTCGAGTTCAAGGAGGAGCTGGACGATGATGAGCTGGAGGATGACATCGATTGAGGTGACGACGATGCGGACGTGGATGTGGACGCGTCATGGGCGATGGGCTCCACTGCGCAAGCTGCTGATGATATTGGCAATGGCTACGCGGAGGATACGTTTAGTTTTACGTTTATTAACGCTTTGTTAGGACTGCCACGCCCCACTGGCTAGGTGATCCATTTCTCACACTTGTCTTTTTACACAAATACACACACACACTTACACAACAAAAGCACACACACACACAATCCATAGAGAAGCGTTAACTCGCTTTTATTTCGTTTATTTCTCAATGAGACTTATTAATCTATATAAATAAGTTAAAAAAACAAATCAACATTTAATAATGATAAACATAACTTGGCGTTCAGTTTGTATTTGTATTTTTGAAGTTTAATTTTAAGCGCAAAACCTTATTAATTAATGTTCATCTTAAGCGAAAAGAAAATGTATTTTAGTGAAAATATACAAAAAAAAAAAAAGGAAAGTAAAGATAAAAGTAAAGAATATCTGTCTTCATTTTAGTTGTTAACCAAATGCTGCTTTAACAAAATTGTTAAGAAGCAAGCAGACAAATTTTTCAAAGTTTATCGTCAAATGTTGTAGAGCAACTTTTTTAAAAGAACTATTGTACACCAAAACTCTTAAATGACAGCAATTAAATATAATGTAATATTCTTTAAGCTACAAATTGCGGTGCAAACTGTGGACAGAAGCATATGAAATATGTTTATTTGCCTAACATTAATATTTGAAGACACCTGTTTCACATTTTCCGAAAATTTCTCAAGAACCGTTTAACTAAAATTAAAGCAAGCAAAATATATTTATAAATACGAACACATATATATATATACATATACACAGATATATATACATATATATAGCTATATAATAATAATATACAAATTAAAAGTAAATGGAAAATAATCAACCTACCTATTTAGTCATAATAACTATTAATGCATCAATATAAATTACTAGAATTTATATAAAACTCTGAAAACAAAAAAATTAATACAAATGCAAATGCAAATTAGTAGAAAGTGAATGAAATATGTACATTTAAGAGTCGAATCGAGTCGAGTAGTTGTGTAATAAATTTAAAAATATTTCATTTTAAAAATGGGAAAAATCGACAAAGAGCAAATACAAAATGCATTAACATACAAAGCAAAAGAAAAACAAAACAAAAGTAAATAGGCAATAAACTGAATACATATTGTAAAATATGATTTAAACAAAAAGTTGTTTGCTTAAACCGAGGTAAATTATATTTATAATTATTTATATATATATGTATATAGTTTGGGGGTTTTAATAATTATTTATATAACATTTATTGTTTCGTTATATCCGAGCTTTTGTTAAAAAAACACCATTGTTCCAAGGAACTCTATTGCTCGCACAGGTAAAAATACTGCGGCATATCTGGCGCAACTGGGAAATGTGAGAGAAATGGGAATTTTGAAACAATTGACCTGACATATTACAGCCCGAAGGTATTCAGAAATTCATTTGGCTTATAGCTAAGTGTTGAGGATTCTTCACTCTCTAGGCAAATCCTTCATCAAATGCTGTCGCTGTCGTGGACGGCGGCCCCAGCGGCTGCTGCTGCTGTGCGGCCAAATTGAATTCGTAGTTCATTTGCTGATCGACGGGTGGGTTGGGGAATGCGCTTGCAGACAGATTCATTAGCTCCGGCTGCGGTGGCAGTGGTTTGACGGGTTCCTGTCGCTCCAGGCGCAACTGCTGCGGGGATTTCACATAGCTAATAGGTATCAGGCCAGAATTCTGGCCATTCGTTGAAGCCAGTGCCCAGCCGGTGTTGAGGAGGTGAAGCGTCTGTTGAATCTCACGTGGAGCCACTTGTACGTTTTGGCCGGCACGCAAACTCAACTCGCCTTCGTTGCGCGCCTGGAAATTATAAATGGCCTGCGTCTGAATGGGGGCAGTCCACTTGGCGGGATTACGAGCTGTTTGAAGTGAAGAGAAAACAAATCGAGGGCGGGATATTAATAGAAAGATAGCAAAATTGCTTGCTTATCACACTCAGCTGGATGAGCAAAGTGCCGCAAGATAAGATTTATGAAGTGTTCAAGGTTCACAAGCCTACCTTCCTCTTGCGCCGTATTCGTCACAGTTCCCAGCAACTTCATGATTAGGTACGGCGCGGTAAAGATGAAACTGAGGAAGGCCAATACTGGCCACGGCGAGGTGCCTTTTCGTGGTAAACGTGGCGCGTTGCCAGGCTGATTACTGTTGTCGTTGAGAGCTTCAGCAAAAGCTTTCTTAAAAGCTTCCGATGAAGGATCCAAGTTTGAGATGCGTAGCCAATACAGTATTCTGAAATGAATTAAAATGTGATAAAGTGGAACTTTTCCTAGGTAGCTGGATGGCACTCACTTTCTGTAAATCCATTTCATACCGCGGAATATCGCGAAGGTTGTCCAGAACTGCGCGAAGACAGTGCGCAGGCGTCCGAAATTTGCGGCCACACCAAGAATGGCACGAAACGAGCTGGTCAGCGCAAAGAAAGTTGAGTCTAGCATGGACGCAATGTTTCCAATGGCTGAGACTAGCGATTCGATGCTTTCGAATGCGGGACGTGAGCTATTCTCAGCCATTTGTATAAATCGTTGCTCGGGATCGTTGCTATTCATGCCACCAAATCTGTTGTAGCAACCGTAGCTGCCGCCGTAGCCACCGAAACCGCCCATACCATAGCCCATGCTGCCATAGCCATATCCGCCTGTACCGTAACCTCCTGCACTGTAGCCGCCTAATCCCATGCCGTAGCCACCCATGTTGCCATAGCCACCGCCGTATCCATATGAAGTCTGTTGCAAGGGCGATTGTGGTAGGGGCGGTGGGGCTGATAGCGCTCTCACGTTGCCATATGGAGTGGTCAGCATAGGGGCCTCATTAATAACAGCACTTCGCAGGTTGTTGTTGTCACCCATGTTGCTGTAGACTGATTAACGTTTATTCGTTGAACTTTGGCCCAAAAGTTAAAGATTAAGTATTCTTACCTGTATACTAATGTGTATTAATTAATTTTGTCGATGGCTTACTAATAAGATGACTTGTGTTCAGCGGAAAGGATACTATTTACGCAACCCAAACCAATTTAAGTAATAAATACAAGAAAAACAATATATTTATCAATTATTTTCTCTTTACTCTTAATATATTATCGATTGTTGGCGTAAATTAGCCCGATACTCCGCGATATTTTTTATAACGTTGTTCATACCTATCGAGTATATTCATTCATTTGGCGGGTACATTGAATTAAACTTTAAAGTATTTATTTAAAAAATCAATTAAAAGAAACGTAAAACATATAGCCAGTCACCCTGCATATCATATTCGACTAAGGCGTATTTTTTAATTAGTGAGTATATCTAGTCGATAATATAAATATTTTTAAAAATGTGGCAGCTCAGGAGTTTTATATTGAGCTGTCGAAATATCGAATATCAACAAACTGGATGTAAATACTTGCTGTTAACGGAGGCAATGAAATAAAATTGAAATATAACAAGGATTCGTTACAAGTTATAAAAAAAAGGCCAAGCCATTATGGACAGCAGAAAAGATTTCTGCCTACGTGAATGGGCGCCGCTTACGGAGATCATGGAGCTTATACCAGCAGCTCGGCGCGGCTTTTTTCCAGCAAATCTCAATGTAACTTGCGTAGATGCCGTTGAAGATTTCCTGGCGCTGGGAAGTGACGCTGGAATTGTCTTTTGGTATAATCGTCGCTCAGGCGAAATGCAGAAACTCAAAGCTGAGGTAAGTATTTGAGTGTGGCTATGATGACTCAGATGACACACATCGCGTGCCTACCGCCAATTTTATGAATGTGTTGTGTGGTGCTTCCCCTTCTCCCGAAATCACCCACACTGACAACTCCAATAGGTATCCACACGCATAACGTGCGTTAAGATAGTCAACTCGGTGGAGTATATGGTGGCAGCTGGAAGTGCTAATGGTCAAGTTAGCGTTTTTCAAATTCAAAAGGAGCTGCCGCCAGACCTGGACCTGGTGGCGCCCTGCACACGAGCCAAACCCATTGAACGCTACACCATACGTGATTTGCATCGCTGCGTAGTTAGTTGCTGCGAGTGGTCCAAAAACGGCATGAAATTGTATTCGGGCGATCGACAGGGCGTCGTCGTGCTCACCGAATTCGACTATCAAGCGGTAAGTAAATTGAAGCTAATATCCATATATTCAAATATTCCATTTAATTGATTTCACTTACATTCTCTTGCTCAGCACCTGAGCAAATCGTTGGAAATACTGAGCGAAGCCTATGAGATTGTTCAGCTGAGCGTGCATCAGAGCTATCTGCTTGTGGCGACGCTTTACCGTTGCATAGTGTGCCGCCGCGATGCCAAGACCCACACGTGGCAAATCACCCAGGTGGGCAAGAAGGATCGCAAGCAGCTAATCGACTGTGGCGGCGTCTTCCTCAAGCAAGCAACTGCGAACGATAATTTGCCACAAATCATTTGCGGACGACCCGGACTACGTTTCTGGATTGCCGATGCCGTTGGCACTGTATCGAAGACCATTATCTTCAACGAAGCCGTCTTGAACAATCCCACCTGGGAGATACCTTTACTCAATCCTAAGCAGCGTAGTCACATGAAAATGACTGCAACTCAAGCCGATAGCAGCAGCAGCGGTTGCTGTGTTGCATTTGTGGCCAGCAAAAACTTTCGTGAATTGGATTTGTATGATGGACACGATTCCCTGGTGGTTACACATGACGATGTTACTTTATACATTCTGAATCTCGAGCGCCTCAAAGTGGAGGCAGTGGCGCGTGGTTTTCGTAAAATCATTGACTTTTGTGTCTGTGGCAAAGAGATCTTTGTGCTCGAAGGCGAGCGCTCGCTGTTGCGTCTGGCCCCTTTTCCAGAGCCACCTAATAGAACTACTACGGTTATTTTCAATCCACTGCTGCCGCCTCCACTGCCCATGGTGGGTGTCTCTCAATATTCCAAACTGGATGTGGAATCGCCGGTGGAGCTGGAGCCAGCTTTGAATATGGCCGAGGAATGCTTTGAATTGCCGACCATTGAAAAGCTGGACTTGAATGTGCCCATTGAGCTGGCAGTGGAGTCGCCATTGGCGCAGCAAAATCGTCGCTTGGAAATCTTTCAACGCATCGGTGAAATGGACTTTGAGCCGTCCATTGTGCACACCAGCGGCACGTTGAGCCATCGAAAGCGCAAAATTTCGGCGGACAAGCGGAACGCAGCTGCAAGAGGAATCGTTGAGATCGGACAGGAGACACACGAGCACAAGCTGCCCCTGACCAGTGCAGCTACACTAATGGAAGCCAGCTATTGCCAAATGGAAAAGTGAATATAGATAATATATAAAATGAAATCCTATTTATGCCATTCATTAATTGCAGCAACGGCTTGGTTTCCCCTGTGGACATGAGAGCAGCATTTATGCAGCAGCTGCCCGATGCGTTGACTCCAACCACGTTGCAGCGTACCGTTGCGGAAAAGGCGAAAACATTGGCGGCCGAGCTGAATTTGCCAGAAGTGCATCTGGCTCCCGTCAGCGCTGAGGAGCTGCAGGCGGCACAAGCACCGAAACTTGTGAATTCACTGATCAACTGTTATCCCTCGAGACTGGAGGCGGTCAGTGTGCAGACATCTCCACGCAAGAAGCTGGACACCACCGATTACAGCGCCGGACAGCCAGTGGATGGCATTTGTGCGGGCGCCTCGAAGCCGGCCTTGACATTTATAGAGACTCAGCCAAAGTCCACATCATCGCCCGATGAGGAATACAACAGCTTTCTGCCAGACTTCCAACGCGCAGCTGATCCATTCATAAAGAAGGAGACGCCCGCCTCAGGTGGCTCAAACACATCCAGCGAATGGGAGTTTCTAGATAACTAAAATGTGTATTTACAGCCCAGTATTATTTACATTCGTTTATATTAGTTGCATTCGAAGTTATTTTCATGTTAATTTCGTTTAAGTTCTTTGTGCACAATTCTCTCTGTTATTTGTAATTTGTGTGCTTAAATTGTGATTTTTGTGTGTTATTGTTATTAAATTATCTCCAATTGTATATAATCATAAGGCGAAATATGTTAGTGAACTATTTTTATAATATATAAACATATNCGTTCCAGAACAGTTGCGGCATGAAGTTGGAGCTGTCGAAGCGCGTGCCCGCCGGATACACCCGGGACAACTGGTGCTTGTTGTAATTGACAAACTCAATGGGTCGCTCCTTCAGCAAAGTTGTCGCCTGCTTCTCATCGAACGAGGACATCTCGTAGCAGCGGTTCTTCTCTGCGGAAGCGAGACAAAAGATGTTAGAGAAACCAAAAGGCATCAGTGCTGATGTCACCTACTCTCGGCATTCTCAAAGGAGCTGAAGTGTATGGGCTGCACGTAGTTCACCAGCGCTGAGATCTCGGCACCTGCTTCCGTCTCCTTCTGGGCCTTGTCCGGCGGCGGCTCATTGCCGCTGGGCAGACTGGGCGTTGTGTTGGGCAGGGATTCATCGTCGCTAGAGCTGTCCGAGTCCGAGGAGCCGGTGCTATCCTTTGAGCTCTGGCGAATTTGCTACGGAATATAAAGGATGTTTTTTTTGTTTTTAATATACAAAATACATTTTGAGAATAGAAAAAAAAGAAAAAAAAATTGTTTTTAGCGATCTATGGAAGATTCGTTTAATAATTAATTATTTTTTCCCGATTTAAAATTGGCTCCTGGACGTAAAATGAATTAAAAATAATATGCATTTAACTTAATAAATTTTATAAAATTTTTAATTAGTGCTTTTTCATATAAATATTTTTTTCAAATATATACAGTTACAAATGAGATGTTTAGGTATAGAAACGCAGCCGAAGTAATGAAATGTTGAATATGTGCTTAAAGTTATTTTATATATCCTTACATATGTATGTATATGTATTTATTTCTCATGAACTGCAAATTTTTGGAATACTCTGTGAAATGCACCTTTTTTTCTTATCATTATAAGTAATAAAATTTGAATTGTAGCACTGTTTTGTGTTTTCTTCTAATAGTTAGTTTTTTTTTACCAGACTCAGACGCAGGAAATGCCAAGCTACTGATAGCCCTATGGATTGGATAGTGGCGCTGCATGACTTGGCTAAATGGAAACATGTGCATAAGGAATGTCTACTGATAGCGAATAGCGCTTGCATGTGAGGGAAACGAGACGCCCCCACAAGCTAATGTTGCCTAATATCATATATAATATATATATTAATGATATATAATATGACTATGATAGAGGCTTAAGCGTCTGAATCGCATGAGAGATTGCCAAGCTTAGCGAATTTTTGAAGCTTCGCTGAGCAAATGTGATAGATGAATAAATTCTATAAATTCTATTCCATAAGCAAGTTTACAATGTGGACCAATTCTTAAAGAGCTTAGTTAAAGTAATAATTGTAAATCTTTTTAATTTTAATATAGTGAATATATATATACATTTAAATATTGAGCATTTGTATTATTTTGATTCATATTGCCATTCTGCATAACTTTGAAAAACAGATTTACGATCTTGATTACACGAAAACTCGATATAAATGTGTTGCGGTAATGGAAAAGTTTCAATGGAGCTGGAGCAGTATGTTGTTATGCAATATCGCGAATCCCACCCATTCCATGCTCCAACAACAATAAACAAATTGAAATTTGAGCGCAGCTTGCTTTTCAATTGACTGCAATGATGGAAAGTTTTGCAGTGGGCGACATCAGCTGCGACAACTAGAAATTTCTAGGAGCAAACATTTCATAAATACAAATTTCTTAGATGCACACACACACACACACATACACACATAGTATAAGATTGAGAAACCTTGAAAGCATCCAAATCATAACAAATAAATTTGCATTGCAAAATTTTCCACAGCTAAACAAATGCCATTGATTGAAATTGAAATTGAAATGAAAGAAGCTGGGAGAGCTCTCGACTCGCGAAGCTTAAAGAAGATAATCAGGAAATTAGCTGCTGACTTGCAAGAAATCTTTAAAGAATGCGTTGATTTGTTGATTCAGCCGCTGAATCTGTTGATGCTGTTAATGCTGTTGAGGCTCAGCATTATCAGGCCTTAACAGGCGCGTGCCAAATTATGTTAGTTTTTACCCCAATTAGAGAATTCAATTTACTGGTCAGAAAAGTCGGGCATGTAACGTGTCAAATTAACTCAAATTTAAATAAATTAAATTGATTATACAAAAAAAGACATAAATAATGAAAAGCCATAAAAGTAAAAATATAAAAGAAAAATGGGAATTATTTATTATATGAATATAATATTTAATAATATACA